TGGCCATGTAGCCTGTTGCTAGGATGGTTAAAGTGAAGGCTCACTACTAGCACTGTCAAGATAAATTACAAGTTAGACTTTTGAAATGTATTGTCCAAGATATAGGACCCCAGAATCTGGCATAAAATTAGAAACAGATGTCTAGGAGAGAGATGAGGAGGTGAAACCCAAGTTTATTATTTTTACAAATAACTCACCTCCCTCCTCCTATTTTTCCCGACAATAACGACTCTGTAAAGTGGGTTAGGCTGAGAAAGAGTGACTGGCCCAAAGTCATCCAGTTGGCTTTCATGGTTATGGTGGGACTTGAACTCACAGTCTCCCATGTTGTAAAATTGGGTTGGTCACATACCAGAGTGACTCTATCAGGAAGGCTGGTGGCATATAAATTTAATAAATAAATAAATATGACCTGCTTAATGATTAGCACAATGTACACCCATAATTTCAGCTCAATTACGGTCTTAAGTCAAGTCCCAAAGGTGCTTTTCTTTCTTTTCAAAAGGCAACTTATTATTTGGAAAAACAAAGTTTAGTTGTCTTTTTTGGCGGGAAAAAGCATGACCTGGATGATTGAGAATCTCCTTAGTCATAAATCAAGGACTACCTGTAATTAAATTTTGGGAAGGGCTCTGAGAGGTACCAAATAAACAAAGCAATCAGTTTCTCAATAATTTTTGAGCAATGATATATTTCAGGGATTAATTAGTTTGTATGTTAAATATTCAGCTATGAAAACAGATAGTGTCAATTACTCTAACTAAGCAATATTGTATTAAAATATCACCATATTGATGCATTTATAATAATTTTGCCATCCAGTTTTTCAAAACTGAGTGAGAGGATTATTCCAATTTAAAAATCCTTTTTAAAAATATGCCCAGGATTTGGTCATTGAATGGGACACCCTAACTAGGGTTCATAGCTGATCAAGTGAGTGTGGTCAAGAGTAAGAAATATTTATTGTAAAAAAAAAACATGCATTCAACTTTCAAATGTTACTTTTTATTTTTCTATGTTAGAGACTACTACAGTATATGAATTTCACAAGGTCAATGGATATCAAGTTTCAAGAAGCAGAAGGATTTGGGGAAGAAGTTTCAGGTAAATCTCATTTTAGTTATATGTTTGAGAAAATGCTGATAACTACTAACAATTCTTTTTGCTGTGCAGAATAGGAACTCTGTTTGTTTTAGGTCAATTATCCAATTTAATCTTCATGCATTGTAGTCAGTTAAAATGTATATAACTAATCAACCTGTCTATTGTATGATTTGTATATGAATGGAAATTATTCCAAAGGAGAAGCTATATGTTGTTGTATGTTCACATTTATGAGTAACTACCTTATTTTTTTAAAGATCAAGATGGTATCTCCTGACTTGTAAGTATTTAGAAACACCCATTTTGCTTGGTGACCAAATAATGAAAGGCATATTTAAAAACAAAAATATTTAAACATTGTTTTATTAGTTGGTGGTACAATTCTATGGTACATTCTATTCTACAATTCTATTCTGTTGAAAAAGAACTGCACTGAATCACTGATTCTTATCTATAGGAAAGTGTAACTATGTTATGTGGAAGAAATATAACATCTTAGCTTCTTAAAGAAAAATATCCGTATGCTTATAGTCCTCTATAGTTAAAAAAATATGCTCATTCTGAAGCTTACATTTTGTTATGAGTAAATTGAGACATTCTCTAAATTTGGAATGGACATTTAGCAATTTCAACTTAGGTTAGATTAATCATTCCTGTATGTATAATTTAAAGCCAGAATTATATTTGTAACTTAGATGATCAATTTTGGGGAAAAAACACTTAATTTTCTTTTAGTATCATTAATTTCTAGCTCCTATTTTCATATCTCTTTCAATGAAAGCTGAAGTCAATTTTAGGAATAAAAATTGAGGAGTTGCCCAAGTTGGAAAACGATCTTCATATCATTTTGTTCTGACCTTGTGTCTCTTTGAAAACACTGAATATAAGTAATTATTTTTCATTAATACCTATTCACCTAGGAAAGAAGAAGTCAAAGTTTAAATCTATTAAAAAGTTCTTTGGAAAAAGAAAAAGGAAAGAAACATTAGCATCTTCAGGAAGTAGTAGTATCAACACATTTCAGTCTGCAATTGATATCTCAGCCATACCATCTAGGCATATAGATTATGATTCTGAAGATGATCTGAAGTAAGTCACATGTTTGCCTTTTCCTTCTTTGCAAAGCAAGTTGTTGTTGTTGTCTGAAAAGCAATGTTATTTCTAAAGGGTTATCCTCCATGTGTACAAATGTTTCATTTGTTGAATATCTAGGACACTTCTCTGAAGCTGTTATAAAGACATAATTAGAAGAATGTTCTGATATCCTTCCATTCTGGAGAACAGCAAGCATTGTTAGAAATAGACATTCTTAGTGATAGTCCCAATGAGAGAGCGGCATATAAATTTAATAAATAAATAAATATTCTGAATACTCTTGCCAGTGAAGTACATCAGGCACACTTCATTATCCTGCCAGCAACCTCTTTTTACCATCCCAGTATTATGTGAGAGAATAATATCCCCCCCAAATTCTTCCCCTTTTATGTCTAGAAGGGAAGGTTTTCAATCAGTTAGTCTGCTGTTTTATTTCATGACTTTCTAATCTAAAGATTTATGCTTCAGAGTCAAAACATCCCCAAAATACTTTTTTTAAGACATTCAGAGTCAAAACTGAAAAGGTGCTGTGGGGCAGGTTGTTCCTGGTAGTTGTGCAGTATCAGAAAAATTTATTTGAATTAAGTGGACTCCAACAGCATACTCACATCTGTTCTAACCTTTTCTGTGCCTCTTTAACTCCAAAGTATAATTTCTTGGATTTGTGTAACTATTTGTGGGATCCCAGGAAAAGATGCAGTTTCTTTAAGGAAGCACCAAAAGGTGCAAGGTGTGTACCCAGTGCTTTTTTTCTAAAAAAAAAAAAAAGGTGCCAGAACTCACACACGTCATACAACCTGCCTTGCCTGCCCTACAAGGTTCCATCCAAAAAAGGTGCCGGAAATCCGTTCTGGGCGTTCTATGAGAAAAAAAGCCCTGTGTGTACCCATGTCTTACTCTAAAGCACCTTTTCAATTTTGGATCTGAAGTGCAGCATAGCCCTATTGTGTATATGTGTGTTATGCAGT